ATCCACAGTGAGTCACGGCTCCTGACAGCAGGCCAAGCACCATCCCCTCTCACCTCAAAGATGGGTGATCCTTGCCTGCCAGGGGAGAGGGAGGACACCTCCAGAACTGAGCAAACACTAGGACTTCATGCCGTCGGAGGTCAGGACTGCGAGTTGCAGGACTCTTGCCCCCGCCTAGCAGCAGACCCGCATCCAAAGACAGCCTTTGAAGAAGAAGAACGAAGCTGCAGCGCAGCACCGAACTCGCCCCGCTACGAACACACTGTCTCTGCCTCACTGCCTGGTCCTGCACAAACTAGGTAATGTGTTCCCGGCGCCCGACTGCAGCACGGTGCCAAGCTTCAGGCCTGACACAACAGCATTGTGCAGCAAGGCAGAGAATGGATTCCCAGAGCATTAATCACTCCCCCAAGCCTGCATGCATGCACGCCTAGCACACACTAACATTGCCTCCATGGAAGACTGCCCATCCCATTTCACCATTAGCTCTGGAGCGTGCCTGGTCCAGCGGGAGCTGATGAAAGGAGGGACCAGAATGAAACGAGGGCTATTAAGTCTGTTACAATATTGTTTTGAGACCTTCATCACAGGCTGGGTCAGGCCACAGCAGCCCAGAGAAAGCTTTTACATACTGACTCAGGCAACTTCTAATACCCCACCTCTCTTATTGCAGCTGAAATCAGGCAGGGTACAATGGAACAATGGAACAATGGAACTTACCAGAAGGAAATTATTGTCAGGCATTTGCTCAAAGCGCCATCACTAAAATGGAAGCAGACCTACTGAAGATAGTAATACAAATGCCCTTTTTTCATGTTTTTGATGGTAAGCGTGAGCAAATGAGTCTCTGATGAATTTCTATACCTTAGAAACAGGAGTTCTGTCTTCCCTGTTTTTGATGAAAGACACTAAAGCAAGGATTTCAAGCACTTAAGAGCTAAGGCAGCAACATGAAGAGACCATTTTAGGCTGATTACAAGAAGTATTAATAGCCCCAGTAAAAGGAGAGACCCGAAGGGTTTGCAGACAGCTAATCTGGTGGTATACCCAAAGCACTGATCAGATCATGAGATAAAAAGCAGTAATGAATGGATTCCACAAATTTAGCAGAAAGACACAGGTGGTATCACCACTTGTTTCCATCTAAATAACGCTTTTCAGCTTCTCACTGAAGAGGCAGCCCTGTTAGATCTGGCTATGGTCAAGCGTGACAGCATCATAACTGAAAAACTAACATTTCACCAAACAGACCAAAACGTGCAGTGTGGGCTTCCGCAGCCACACTCAGTTTGCACAAGAGGGATAAGTGGATTCTTGTGCGCCAGATGTCTCAATCTCTACAAAAACCTTAGTGCCTGCCTGAGCAGTAGACCAGGAAGAAGTCAGATTCACAGAAATGTACAAAAGCCAAGTTTGTCACAGAGTGATTAAAGAAATTAATATTAAAAATATTAAACAAATACTGCCAGTGATCTTTTTTAAAATTGAAAAATGCCATGCATTTCACTGAGGTCTTGTCATGCCTCCTCACACTCATTATAGCTC